AAAAAAAAAATTGTGACAGAAAGCGACACCGTTTTTGTACATGATGTTTGCGAACAGAGCATGATCAGTGACTAACAAGAGTGATAAAGGAGGCACAATCGAAAGCTGGCAACATTGGTGACGGAAGCACAAGCTCATGATGATGAGAAAGTTAGCATTCGTGTTGACCAGTTCAGTTCCGCTTGCTGCTCCTCGGCTTGCTGCTCCGTGGTCTGCTGCTCCTGAGCTTGCTGCTCCTCGGCCTGCCGCATTTCAGCGTTCATCTGTTTCTCCAGATTTTCATAGCGCTGCTTGATAACATAGGCAGCCATTTTCGGCTGTCGATTGCGCGTTAACATGCCCTTGTGATTACCCACCACTCGACTTACTGCTGCAATAACTCACTACAATTACTGCTAATCTGTGGATGTTACTGAGATGTAGTCACAAGTCGATTGAAGCTCTTGCAAATGCACCAAACTTCAGTCCCGTGGCGCAGCTGACTAGGGAGTAAAATTGGACGATCAGCAGGAAGTGACAATCGGCCATTGGCGCAGTGGCAGGGTTGGAATCGAAAAGAGCAGTGTGACTAGTTCCCAAAATACGATATGTATTTTGGGAACTAGTCAACTTCAAACGGAGAGTGACCACAGGCGGTGAGTACCGAAGTTGTGTGGATAGAGTCAGCAAAATTGGTGCTTCTTGGCTCTTCTACCGAGCAATTAAAACGAACTTTGATCAGTCATGAAATCGATGAAGTTCCATATCATTTCGCCGGCCAGTTTGTGCCTGCTGCGCATCAGGTCGAATGCAATATGTGTTTGCTCAAGCAGCTCCTTCTGGTACTGCTCACTGAAGACGCGACTTGGTCCCTAAAATACCATTGTCCGTACTTACTTTAGAAAACTCTGTTCAGTTTTCAATCTATGGCACAGCAACAATGGCTACAATTTTCAAGCAATTGCCCTGTGTTCTTTGGCAGTGAAAACGAAATAAATAAAGGTGCACACTAAGACAGTTGGTGCGATCATGCGTTTATGCAGTTTCATCCAGCGAAAACTGGTGCAGTCCTCCAGAAAACCTTGCTATTAGAAGTGTTTAGTGCTTTACTGTTTGACACACACAGAAATTTTTATGCTTCCCGAGTTATTAATTTTGTCGCCAAAACTTCCACGTGCCCATGCTTGAAACTTAGTATGCACAGACATGGGCGGGAGGG